GGAGAAAGAGAGATTGCCGGCCGGTTGTCAGGTTTTCTCGGGGAGAATTCTCGGTCGTGTGACATTGAGTGTTTTGCGAGATAATAAATGACAGGTCTTGGCAGCGACTCAAACAGTCCGTTTCAGAATGTTAGCGAGAGATTTTTTAGAAAGTGGATTTGGCAAGGGGATTAAAGCGTTCACTGAGCTTAATCTTTATAGCTAGTAGAGTTAATTGGAAAGACTATAAAAAAAGTAGAATTCCTAGAGAAGCACCAACTACATTTCTGACATGATTATACATTTCTGCTATCTTTTGTAATGTCCAATTCTTTTCCCTAATAAATAACAGCCTCACAAGCTTATTACTTGATTAGCAAAAATTATTTTAGACATGGATAAAACATATTCTTCAGTCAAATTAACAATTCTACCAGTCAAAGCTGAGCTAAACTGCTTAATTAATAATTATTATGTATTAATTCACTTTCAGTTTTATAGTTTAGGTCAAGCATTATTAATTTCTATACTATATAATTAGCCATTTCAATGGTTGCCAATAAAACTAGGCTTTTATAATAATAGTTGGGTTAAATAACTGAACAAATAAATTATAATACCATAATCATCAATGGTAAAATTACTCAAATATTTCATATCAAATTGATTACGTTTCAACAATGATTGCCAAACTAATCCGGTAAATACCTAATGAAAACTATAATAAATAATTGCATAATTAACACAATAATAATATTACAATGGTCCGTGTGAATTTTTCCCATGATTGCTATCATTTTCACGCCCACTGTACGCATTTGCACCTCGTGACTCAGTTTTAATCTACAATAATATTACATTGCTATTATTGTGTTTATTTTGGGTAACTCTTTCCCTTTATGTTAGGTTTTCTACGCTTTTGCGGTTGCATTGAGACTCGTCAATCGGATATGGAACGTGTGTCTGCGAAATGGTAAACCCCTCGATCGATCCATCGATCGATGGATCGTTTGGCAGATCGTTTGCTATATGGGCTAGTGGGTCGCCGGTTGTTTGACGGCTGCGGTTACGTGCCTGAATAATGTGAGACAATGGGCGGATCAATTAAATGGTAGCAGCACTTGCCTAATTGGCCATAATTCTCCTACCCAAAAAACACTTTTCGGGGCAGCTATAATTATGATCGAGAGTGGGCGGCAATTTGTTTTGTTTATTTTCGTCCAACGCGTTGGTGTTCCAAAATAATTAAATAAGTGAGTGACTGAAGCATTTGTTTACAAAACAAAACGGTTGACGATGGGAATTACAAGTTTAGTGTACAGTTTAATTCAAATGATGTTGATTTCTTTTTGAAAAATGAGAATGAGAATTTGGTTCTTTTTTCAGTGGAATTTGCTTTCCGACAGAGCTTTTAAAAACATTTCTCGAGTTCAATGTAGTGCAAAAAGTGCACTTTAAAGTGGGTGGGGTCAGTTTTTTATATATTTCTTAAGCAAGACTGTGTGGGTGCCCCATCGTTGCCATTAGATCATTGCAGTCGGTTAGAACAGATATATAGTTTATAGCAAAATTGTGTGGGTGTCTCTCAAAGTGCTTGCAGTAGGTTCAAACCGGAATTACAGATGACTTATTTCAGACCAAGATGTAACACGAATTTTTGTGCATTTTTACAAGCAGAAAGTTTTGAAATAGAGAAGAATGTAAGTCGAATTTGTGTACATTTTCAAAATAAGAAAGTTTTGGGATGTAGAAGAACGTAAGAATATATACTTGTATGATTATAAATTTATGAATAATTCTGTGGTTCTCTCAATAAAAAATATAGCTTAATCTTATTAAACCATTCCTGTTTAATTTTTATGTAAAATAATAGCAATAATAGCAAGTGTTAATAACAAGACTGATTAACTCACTTTTATGTTTCTTATCTTTAATCCTTTTTTCTTTCTTCTGAACCATCTTGAATTACCAACAGAGTCTTTAAAATCAAAATGTATAGACTGTTGTATATGTTGCAGTATATGTTAGAATATTTGAACTATTTAAAGTTTGAACAACGAATACATTTTGTGACATTTGTTTCAAGGGTGACGATAGGAGAAAGAAGAAAATTCTCGAGCCCCTAAGGTAATCAATATTTGAAGTTATTATCTAAGAAAATTCTTTTACTTTCACTATGTTACTTTTAACAAAGCAGTAATATCATTTAATGGATATTGCTTTTAAAAATCTATTTACAATATAGAGGAAATACATAAATTTACCTTTAATACCCTTAACAGTTATAAGACCCATTTAAAAAAACTCACCTCTGGGTGGTGGCCCCGTCTTTGGGGTTGTGTTATTGCAGCAAGGTCTTCCAATTTTGGACACGGAACCCGTTGACCCGAAATTGGATGGTGCCTTCATTTTGCTGGCGGCTGGAATTCCAGTGACTGATGATGCGGGCGTGGGAATATTTGATCTTGAAGGTGCAGGTATTTTGAGGCCGGTGGCGCCTCCATTGATCCTTCCGTATTGGTGGCGGGTTGCGGGGGTGGAGGAGCAGCAGCTGCCTCACCCGAATCACCCGTTTCATCACTCATTTTTCACTATTTGTATTATTTATTTAATTTGCACTAAATTTTGCACTGTTTGCTTGGACACACGCGTATTAAATGTAAACGTTTTAAAAAAACTTAAGAAAATATGGGTTAAATGTAGTAAAAATTAAAATATTTTGCAAGCTTAAATGCTGATTACTTACCTTAACAAGTGTATGTAAAATGTAGATTAGTTTATCTTTCCGTTTCCTATATAAATTATTTGTATACAATTTTTGCTAGGTTTCGAACCACTGCGCCGGTGTTGTTGTTCTTGTTGTTGTCTCTTTATGTTTTGGCGCGCACGCCGGCTATCTCGCTCGCTCGCTCTTGGCGGCCGCTAGAAACAGCTGATTGGAAGCCGATTTGTTTCTTCATTCGCTTGAGCTTGAAAAATAAACAAAAACCGCTTTTTTGTTGTTGCTTTATTCGTTGCGGCTTCGTTACGATTGCCGAAAAATGCGGAACCGAACTTTTGAATTAATTATGCACACACTAAAATCACGCTCAAGGGTATTCTATTTATACCGATTACTAATTTATTATTTATATTTATTTTGGGGGTTGTCGCTTGCACCGATTTAACGCGATTTAAATTAGATTAAATTGAATCAAATTGCTTATCAATTTGTGCATTCAAAACACACACACACACGCACTCAACACTGTTCTATTTGGTTGTGGTTGTTGTTGTTGCTGATTTGACACAGTTTTTGAAGAAGAAGAGTGGGAGAAAGGGACGCGAAAGAACGTAAGGGTGCCGCGGTAATCGTGTGTAGTTAACTGCACACACAGATAAGATAAGCTTACGAATTCAATGCACCGAGCTGCGGGAAACGATTTGAAAGACAACGCGTGGGTTTTAGTTACACTTTAGCACGAATTTTAAAACACTTTTTCGCACAACTTGTGTTGCGTTGGAATTTTGTTGTTGCAGTTGGATAGGGATGGAAATCAGCTGCTGGCGCTGCAGTGAGCATATCGGTAGCTGAAGGTATCGATATATTAGCTTAGGGTTGGTATTTATTTGGTTGGACGGAATCGGTCACACTAAAATTATTTTGTCAGTTGACGATATACACAGTGGATTTTGTTTTAGATTCTTTCTAATATAAAAATTTTAAAATAATAAAATATTACTCCATAAAATAAGCGACTCTTTTGGTACTTTGGAATACTTCATCACAGATTTGGGATAATTTAATAATAAAATTTTTATAAATTGCTTATAGGCTTAAGTATTCCATTTTTTAATAATAACAAATTATAAATTAAAATTAGAAATATTTTCAAGCGTGTTTTTTTATATTTTCCGATGGTTATGTGGATGTGAATTTATTTCTATTCGATAATGTCACAAAAACTACAAAATGTTCTATAGACAATTACACGGTGATGTTCTGTTCAAAAAATTAAACAATTTTTTTATTTGTACGATAGAAAAACCTGCAAGTTCTTAATTTTATATGCTGTTTATTCGTTATTTACATTAACAAAAAATTAAAAGCATTTTATCGGTCGTGAATTTATTTCTATTCGATAGTGTCACCAAAACTACAAAATGTTGTATAGACAATTACACGGTGATTTTTGGCTCAAAAACTTAAATTATTTTTTATTTTTACAATATAAAAACTGGCAAATCTTTATTTTATATGCTGATTTAAGACATTTCATATTTACTAAATTACATATATTTTTATTTGGAATTTACAATATTCAAAAATTTGTTATAGGCTTAGGTATCGCGTTTTTAATAATAATAATATAAATTATTATGTTTTATTTTTTATTTTCTAACGTGTTTTTATATTCGCCGTTGATTACATGCATTTTAATGGTAGTGAATTTTTGTCTATTCGATAGTGCCACCAAAACTACAAAATGTTGTATAGACAATTACACGGTGATTTCTGGCTCAGAAAATTAAATTATTTTTTTATTTGTACAATAAAAATAACTATAAATTATTAAATTTAAATGCTATTTAATTAGACATTTTACATTTACAAAATATGAAAAGCATTTTATTGGTCGTGAATTTATTTCTATTCGATAGTGCCACCAAAACTACAAAATGTTGTATAGACAATTACACGGTGATTTTTGGCTCAAAAATTTAACTATTTTTTATTTGTCCAATAGAAAAACCTGTTGATTCTTACTTTTATATTATATTTTTAATTGGAATTTTGTTGTTTACACAAATTTTGTATATACATATTTCTTTGGAATGCGCAGGCTAGGAGAATGTTGTCACACATCAAATTGGCCAAATAATATTCCTTGTGCTTATTATTAGTAAAAAGATAAATATTTTTAGAATGAAGAATAGTTTCGAATTTTAAATTAAAATTATTTAGATTTTTAACATATAATAATTTGTTTTAATTTTACCGAAAATCTAGCTAGAATCTGACAACACTGTTGGCGGTAGAAAGTATCGATTACACATCTCTAAGCAGTTATCGCTTTTCTGTTTTCCGCAGTTTTTGATTATTCGCTTCTGTATTTTTTTTGATTTCGTTCTGTGCAGTTGGTTTGTTGCGGGACGCGCGTGAACGCCATTGTGTGTGTGTGTGAGGAGGCGCAGAAGAAGCAGCAAGACGGGCAAGAAGGAAGCCGCAAAAGGAGAAGCCAATTCTAAGAAATCTTATCAATGAGCCAGAAAGAACTACGTGAAGAAAAATATCAAGATGCGTGTGTTTCAATAGAGCAAATTTAGTTTTTAGTTTTCTTTCGGCACTTCTGTCCGCTCTTCTAATCGGTGCGTGTAGTGGTGTGAGTGCTGCTGTGCTGCTGCTGTTTGTGTGTGTGTGAGTGTCACCACGCCTACACGCACAAGGAATGGCAGCAACGGTTTACCAACGCCTCCACAGCGGTGGCGGCGGCAGCGCGTCGGCCTCCTTTCCAGGAGGAGCGGCCCCCGGAGCTGCAATGACTGGATCGGCGGGCAACCCCTCCTCCTCCGCCCTGCTCAGCCACTCCCAGCTGACGCGGTCGCTGGAACGCATCCTGGAAGAGGCGCATTTTAGCGGCGAGCTGATCCTCACGAACCGCAAGCTAAAGGACTTTCCCAAAACGGGCACCAAGTACGCGCTCACGGATACCGTTATAGCAGGTGTGTACCTTAATTTTACAGTGGAAGTCCCTGCGGGGTGAACGAGGGGAAAATACAATTAACACACAGGTGTTGGTGGGGAACATCTGGAGGTTTCGTTATTTTAAAAGTTGTATATATTCTGAGGAAAGAAAGAAAGTTAATTTAAAGTTAAAAGTGTGTTTAGAAGTAGATTAATTAAACAACAACAAGAACAGACATACTTTTACCTATATTTGAAAAGTAATTCGAGCTTTAAAATATGCAATTTAACACCCATTAGGTATTTAAATTACTAAACTCTCAATTTAGTTGACATTACAAAAAACTCAACCTGGGGGAAACTTTATACAGGTATTTCTCTCTTAGGGTGCGGCTCTGAAAAAGAGGTGTGTTTCCCAGTGTGTGTGTGTGTGTGTGCTAACCAAGTTTTCTTATCTCAAAAATGCAATTGCGAATTTTCCTTTTACTGCGAGATGAAAATCAATAATCTGCTGCTGCAGCAGCTACCGCTGAGGTTCTCCCTCTTTTCCACCAGTCGCTCTCTTTCTCTCTTCCTCCTAGTCGCTCCCATCACCCCTCCCGCTGTCTCTCTTCATTCGCCTGCGCTCAAGGACAATAATAATTATCGCCATTTTCGCTCTCTTCCACTTTGCACTATCCTGGTTTTCCTCATTTTTACTTTGTGCTGCAGCCGGAACGAAAATTTCGTCGAAGTTCAACCAACTTTCGTTTTTGTTAGGGCCAAAAAAGATATGCACCAGCGGGGAAAAACGTGAAATGGGAAATGGGAAAAGGGAAATACCAAAACCGAACCACCCCCGCCCAAACCCAACCGCCCACAGGCGAACCCCGCCCCCTGTTACAGCTGCTGCTGCTACCCTCGAACAGATGTTCTCGCATCGGGACATGTCTCTCATCGATTTTCACTTGGGTTTGTTGTATACACACACAGTGAGCCCTGTTTAAGGTGGAAACCATAAAATAAATATGAAAATTGTATACAGTTTTTAAAATAATCAAATGCAATCTATTTAGTTCCCATGAAATCATAAATTATTGGAGTTACAATCTATTTAAATTCAAAACAAATGAGTAAAAAACACTGTATCTGGCGTTCACTGTATTTATTTATTTTTGTATATGTTTGGTGGAACTATCAGAATATGAAGTTATTGAAGGGAATTATTTATTTTTGGATGCCAAAGATTAATTGTAGCACAAGCGGGATTTAAAAATAAATTGTGTCATAAATTGAGAACTAATTTGGTAAAATTGAATGCAGAGAATGCTATAAAAATACTTTTCTGTTTGGTGAGTTAATCAATCATCCCTCAATTGTTAATTAACAAAAATAAACAAACCACAAATTTTGATAATATTTCTCAATTTGATTGAAATGTATTCAATTGCTGAGATAAAATTGAATTGGAAAATGAAAAAGAAAACAGATAAATAAGATTGAATGAATTGGAAACATGGGTTACTTACGAAATGTTCTATATTAAAATAATAAAAAATACTAATAAATCACCAGATCCTTCCTTAACCTAGGAAAAACATTTTCGATTTCCTTTAAAATTCCGTTTCGTTTCCTTCAAGTACGTGACTCTGTCTGCGACAATCCCTGCGTCAGTATATCGCTTCTGGTCACGCACTATCAGCTTGAAATGGGGAAAACTCTTTGCCTTTTTGGGAAAAACCCTTCCCCCAAATCGAGGCTCAAAGTGCTTCCGGTTTTTGGTTTATTTTTCGATGAAGTTTCTTGCGTTTTCTCACTCCAAATTGAGTCATCAGCTGCGAGGGCGTGACTAATTACCAATTAAAAAGCTGGATTTGGTGTGAACGAATGCGGTAGAAATAGGGGTAATATAGATATGTTGAACCTCTCTGTAAGGGTTAATCTTTGGGGGGAAAATATTTGTAAATACGGCCAAGTGAAAGAACCTCTACAAATTGCCTTTTCGAGAACAATAAAGCTACCCTCTGTGAAATACTTGGGGAGGTATGTACGTAGACTTTTGAGAGGTGGCAACAGCTCTTAGCCCTAATGGCTGCAACCACAATGTGCCACACACGAGCCAAGTTGCAAGGGTTTCGAGTTTCCAAGAAATCAATGAGTCTGTCAGGAAAGGAAAGTCGAAGAAGAAAATAAAAAGAATGTGAAATACAACCATTTTTCTTTTCTTTATTCGCACTCATGCTTTGCAACCCCCAAAATGGGAAAGCAAACTTTGTACAAAAAGGGAAAGAGAGGCGCCTCGCCTGTCAGCATTTCCCAAAATCATTTGTTGTTGCGGCTGGCACTTCACCTCCCCCCATTTCCACTCCCACTTTTACTACCCTCTCCCCTTAATTTAAACAGTGCATTCCTTTGGGGCATTTAATTAAGACGCGTGTCACGTAAATCAAACAGAACCATATACAAAAACCTAGACAAAGGCCGATAAAAAAAGAGCCGATCAAGAAGAGCGAAAAATCAACATGACAACAACACTGGGGCAGGAAATTGTTTAAAATAATTGCAACGAAGAGGGAAAAAGCGAAAAACGGATAAAAATTGCAGCTGCCTCTCAGGCATAAATTGTGGGAAAAGAAGCCGAAGTCAATATAAGAAGGTAGCAACAGCAGCAGCAGCAACAGCAGCAGCAGCAGCAACAGCAGCAGCAGCAACACAGCAGCTGCGCACAGATAGCAGCAGCTGATTATAAGTGCTGGTAACTTGGCTCCTTTATTTTCTGTTATAGGAGAGAAAGATATATTTTTTCTTAATTTTCCTAAAATTTGTTTTAAGTTTTTGTAAGTTACAGTTGAAAGTAGAATCCTTTTTTAACCTAAATGCAATTATCGCTATTAAACTAATAGGGTTTCTATGGTTAATACCTGTTTTTTAACAACAACTTTATTTTTTAAACCTAACACTTGGAAACCAGATATTATATATGTAAATGCAATATACGAAGATAGATCATAAAAGTTTAATTAAAGGGCTTTCCATTCTAGATTTCAAGATTTTAAACTCCTTTTTTTAATACCACTTTACATCGCTTTGATACTTTTTTTATTGTGGCTGAGTGAAATGTCTGCCAAGTGACCGGGAAGAAGAAATCTTTTATGTTTTCGGGAAGTCAAAGTCCCAACAAACAAAACAACATCAACAACAAACATGATGTGCGGAGGGGAAATGCTTTTGTCGTGTGTATCTGACGCGTATATATACATATGTTACATATATATTTTTTGTTGTTTGCATTGTAAATATGATGGAGCATAAAAAGACAGCTAGTCTGCTTTTTGTACTTTTATTACTATTTATTCTCTGTCTGCCAGCAGACAAAAGAGGAAATGCGAGCGCCGCAGCACGTCGCTTATCTCCAGTGCCTCTCAAACTGCACGGTTCATGGCTTGAATGCGCAATGCTGTAAAAAAAATAACAACAAAAAACACAAACTGAATACAAAGTGCATTGGGTATGGAGATGGTATCGTGATTAAGTGTTTTCCAGGAAAGATCGATAGTAGAATAGAATTACAGAAGAAACTGATACATCTGTGGAAATAAATGGTCTGCTAATCCTTCCATAAGCCGCTTAAAAAGCAGAACTAAGTGAAAGACAGACTTGGTACTTGAGGAAGTTAAACTAATTACCTATTTTTTTTTTTATACCCTTGCTACGGGTAATATCATTTCAGTCAGCAGCTTGAAACGCTGTGAAGGAGTCATTTCCGACCCTATAAATTATATATATTCTTGATCAGCATCAACAGGCGAATCTTTCTAGGCATGTCAGAAAAAAACAAATTCTTATAAATTTTTCAAAAATTGTTACATATTTTTGCATTATTAAAATTAAAAAAAATGGTAAAAATTTTAATTTTAAAAAATTTTATATTGAGTATGTAGATTTATTAACTGAATGAAAACTAACATGGGAAAGCTTTCCGAATTAAAATTAAAACTTTTTGGCCGGAGTTATGAGATTTTTAATTTTTGATTTGTCGAAAAAATTGTTATATAAAAATATTGATAAATATTGATTAAAAGAATGAATAAATAAGGGTTCTAAGCTTAGTTATGATTAAATGAATACAAATAAAAATATACTCAAGTTAAACCATCTAAAAATATAACATAAATACTAAGAAAAAACTGTATAGCCTAGAAAACATCAACATTTTGATTTATGATTCTAATAATAATTTTAAATATAATTGAGAAGACTTGGTGACCTTCAAAATAACATATTATTTGTTCAAAAAATTAATTCAACCGACACTCTGTTTTGATATTTCCACAATAATGTATTTTCTTATAGACTGCGTTTTGGTAAACAAATTATTCAATGAGGGTGAATACCATATACACAAAAACGCCAGACAGCCAGAGAATATTTGTAGTTTACGTGCCCCTTATATTATATTCCGTTCCTAAATGCATCCTCATTGTGCCCATTGCGGGTTAAAAATAACAAAATAAAAATTATTTCAACGATAAAATGCAATTTTCCTTGCCTTCTCCACTTGCTTATCGTGAGTTGAACGAACGACTTGTGCAATTAGATATAGCCACACCAATATGTACATTTATTTATGTGCACGTATATGTACATACATATCTTGGAAATATCGAGGGCAATGCAAACTTGACACACATTAAGACAAATTATGCATTGAGTCATTTTCATTAATTTATAAGTCTAAGCATTATTTAACAAACCAACAGCCGGTCAATTCTTCTAGCTGTTCAAGTTGTTATTGTGCCAGTTGCTTAATTGCTGTGCACAGCACGCGCTCGTGAAAAGAGACGGAGACAACAAAAAAGTTAGATCAGATTACAACCACTTCAGATACAGTAGATACAGTAGATACTCTATAGGTGGAATTTTGTAAAAATGTGTTAAAGAACATTTAAAACTGGTAGCTTTATGATGGATAGAATTCTACTTCAATGTACTTCAAATTATATTCAATTTAATAAAGCCATTTGACTGTGTTACACATCTATAGGTAAAGATATTTGTT